GTACATCAATATGTATCAGAAAATGTAATAAAAATTGGGGGTCATTTTTTAGCCATTTTTCGGAAAAAACCATGGGCTATAGTACAGGAATTTTTTCAGATTTTGGCCGTTTTTTTAAATGGCCACAACTCAAAAAATTTAAGTCGGAATCAGCTTAAACTTTCTACACGGCATAAGTACATCAATATGTATCAGAAAATGTAATAAAAATTGGGGGTCATTTTTTAGCCATTTTTCGGAAAAAACCATGGGCTATAGTACAGGGATTTTTTCAGATTTTGGCCATTTTTTTAATGGCCATAATTTGAAAAATTTAAGTCAGAATCAGCTCAAACTTTCTACACAGCATAAGTACATCAATATGTATCAGAAAATGTAATAAAAATTGGGGGTCATTTTTTAGCCATTTTTCGGAAAAAACCATGGGCTATAGTACAGGGATTTTTTCAGATTTTGGCCATTTTTTTAATGGCCATAATTTGAAAAATTTAAGTCAGAATCAGCTCAAACTTTCTACACAGCATAAGTACATCAATATGTATCAGAAAATGTAATAAAAATTGGGGGTGATTTTTTAGCCATTTTTCGGAAAAAACCATGGGCTATAGTACAGGGATTTTTTCAAAAATTGGCTTATTTTAAAACCCACACATATGCCCATAAACATGCACGTACCTCAAGGTTATACAGTAATTGTGTAGGAGAGACTTTTGATGCATCGTAAAAATCTGAGAGGACAGCTGCTGGAGTCGGAGGGAGACGAGTATCCTCTGAAGCTCCTTCAGTTGATATTGGGTGAACAAAAACCTCAAGAGCCTCAAGAACCTTCTGATTAATAGGAATGAGGGAAAGAAGAGTCCGTACTGCCTCTATAACCCTGAGAGAGAGAGGAGAGAAGGTAAAATAACAAGAGAAAAAAGGATATACATTTCTACACGTACATGAGAGTATAATACTATTAACAGTATAATATAAATCCTTTCAAAAGTACCTCAATCTACACAGCATTTATTAACATACAACTATATGTACATGTATTTTCAAACCTTGGCTCCCCTGATTGGCAGAGCTGCTCCAGTTTTGTAAATATGTCTTTCTCGTTTGCCATTATGACACCTGGCAACAACCGCTCCTATAAAATAAAATAAATAAATAAATAATAATAAGAGAAAACTCTGACTTGTCTCAAAGCAATCTTTAATCTTTCAGTGTTAGTA